GGCGTGCATCGAATCATTTGGTACCTGAGCGAAACGGCGGCCCGCCTCCCTTGTCTCGTTAAGTGCACCAAATGAATGGCTTTGCCTACCGGGGAAGACAGCCCGGTTGCCATGGGGTATTGATTAAAGCCTCTGCCGGGCCTGTGGGCTGCTCCGATCGCTTAATAATTGCAGCTCTCCGCGGCCCGTGCATCTCCTGCTCATCACCGTGCAGGCCGCACGGTTTGTTGTTCCAGGCGCGGTGGCGTCAGCCCCCCGCTCACGGGTGTTATGATAATCGATGAGGCAACACTGCCTACTGATAGGTGTTGGCAATCAGGCAGATGTGCTTACATGAATCTACAGCAACAGTTGAGCACGCTCCCTGTGTACAGTTTCCTGTCGACAGAGGACGTCCCCAGAGGTCGCTGCCAGCCGTGCGGGAGGAATGACTTTCTGGCGTTTTCTCTCTGTGCATGGGGCCCTCCGTCAGCGAGGGCTACTCTCTTCCCCTCTGAAAAAAGGACGTTTCTAGGGGAAAGGGTGTCAGATACAATCCTGACCGTTGCAATGAGAGTGGACATAACAATTCTCACCCTGGACGGCGCTATCCGTGACCGCCTGGCTCGCGGAAGGCCATTATAAGCGAAATAGGGGCAATAAAAACGGAGAAAGGAAGGCGCGTTTGCCCGGGGAACAGGAGAGGCGGCCCCGGCTGCAGGGAGCGAACGGGTTATTACCGGTCCTCGGAGTGGACGGTCCCATTACCTCGTCCCCTGTCTGGCACGTAATAAGAACGGACACCTCGGCCACTGGCTTTGCTGAGTGTTTGTTGGGATGGGAGTGGCAACCGATTCAGCTACTAAGCGTCTCCCTTCCTTTCTCTCTTCTTTCTTTTTCCCTCTCGCTCTCTCCTCGCAGGTCCACATGGGCACCCACATGTGGAACAGCACGCCCGCGCGGCGGGGCCGGCGGCTCTCCGTGGACGGCCCCATGACCTTCCTCGGAGGCAATCCCGTCAAGTTCCCCGACATGTTCCAGAAGGACCCGGCGGCCCGGTCGGGCAGCGGCGATCCGTCCGGTTTCTGGAACCAGTACGCGGCGGCGCTCTCCAACGGGCTGGCCATGAAGGCCAATGAGATCTCCGTCATCCAGAACGGCGGCATCCCCCCCGTCCCGGGCAGCCTGGGCAGCGGGAGCAGCTCGCCCATCAGC